CCCCCCCCCTCATGACCTCATCGTGTTGATGGAGAAAATTCCTTGGCGGGGGCGGGGGCGACACGCGGTGGGGGGGACACGGAGGGGAGAAAGGGGAAGGAGCCGTGTCAGACATCGGGGGAACACGGGGTGCTCCCCCCACTCTGCTCCCGCCCACCTCCGCCCCTCCCTCCCGGCCTTTTGGGGGGTCCCAGGAGCCCCCCCCGCCGCTGTTGTTGTTGCAGCCGGGGCAGTGAGTCACGGCCACGCCCGGACGGGGAGCACTGGGAGGGGTTGCGCTGGGGCACTGGGAGTACTGGGATGAGCTATACTGGTGTTACTGGGAGCCCTGGGTTGGGCTGTGCCACATTATTGGTGTTACTGAGAGCATTTGGACAGACTATACTGGTGTAACTGGGAGGACTGGGGTGGACTGTGCCACGTTACTGGTGCCACTGGGAGCATCAGGATGTGTTACTGGGAGTCATGGGTTAAGCTTGCTGGGGTTTTGGGGGTTACAGGTGTCACTGGATTGGGCCTTACTGGTGTTACTGGGAGGACTGCAGTGTGCTGTGCCACACTGGGGAGCACTGGGAGCACTGGTGAAAGCTATACTGGTGTTACTGGGAGCACTGGGATGGGTCATACTAGTGGTACAGGGAGCCACGGGTCATGCTATGCCATATTACTGGTGTTACTGGGAGCACTGGGGGCCTGAGGGTAGGTGGCACTGGGGTTACAGCTTCTATTGGGGGCACTGGGATGAACTGTGTGGTTGTTACTGGTGTTCCTGGGAGCACTGGGATGAGGTGTGGGGCAGGTCCTACTCTACTGGGAGCACTGGGATGGACTGTGCTGTGTTAGTGGTGTTACTGGTGTCACTGGGAGCACTGGGATGGACTGTGCTGGGGTTCTTGTGAGCTGGGGGTCAGTCTGAGGTGCATTACTGGTGTCACTGGGAGCACTGGGATGGACTGTTCTGGGGTTCTTGTGAGCTGGGGGTCAGCCTGAGGTGCATTACTGGTGTCACTGGGAGTACTGGGAGCCCTTCCATCTCGGTTGTTTGGTTTCCATGGCGACGCCCCAAACACGGGCGGGGGCGGCTCCCCTGGGGGGGTGGGGAGGGAGGGGCCCAGGCCCCGCCCCCGGCCCCGCCCCCCACGGGCCACCCCGCCCGACCCAGAGCGAGAGCGCAGCGGGACCGGCCGGAGGTGCTGGGGCAACTGGGGGGACTGGGGGGTCGCTGGGGGGCACAGGAGGGACTGGGGGAACTGGGGTCACTGGTAGGTGACTGGGCGGGGCTTGCGAGAACTGGGCAGGTCTGGGGGGCACTGAGATAAACTGGGAGAAACTGGGGGGAACTGGGGGCATTGGGGGGACCGGGGAGCATTGGGAGAACTACAGGGACTGGGAGGGACTGGGAGGGACTGGGAGGGACGGGGGGAACTGGAGGCACTGTGGGAACGAGGGGGGACTGGGGGGAGCCGTGGGGGAGGCTGAGAAGGTACTGGGGGGAACTAGGAGGAGCTGTGGGAGACTGGAGGAATTGGGTTGCACTGGGGCAAACGGGGGGCACTGGCAGCTCTGGGGGAACTGTGGGGATTGGGGGCTGAGGAGGACTGGGAGTCACTGGGAGTTACTGGAGAGTCACTGGAGGTTACAAGTTGCTGTGGTTTGGGGTGTCTGTGTGTCTCCAGGAATGTCCCCCAGGTGTCTCTCATGTCCCCACAGCTGTCCTTGTGTCGCCATGGGTCTCCCTGTGCCCCCCTCGTGTGTGTCCCTGTGTCCCTCAGGTGTCCCCAGAGATGTTCCTGTGTCCCCTACCGGTGTGCATGTATCCCTGGAGATGTCCCCAGCGGTGTCCCCTGTGTGTCTGGGTGTCCCCTATGGGTGTCTCTCTTCCCCCTCTGTGTCACCGTGGGTGTCCCCCAAGACATCCCTGTCCCCCTGCATCCCCCCATGGGTGTTCCCTGTGTTTCATGTGTGTCCCTTGTGTGTCCCAGGGCGTCTCCACATCCTCCCGGTGGCTTGTTTGCCTTGGACGTCCCCACAGCTGTCCCTATGTCCCTTCTTGGTGCCTGTGTCTCCCCATGGATGTCCCCATGGGTGTTCCTGAATCCTCATGCCATGAGCCTGTGTGCCCTGGCTGTTCCCACAAATGTCCCGCGTGCCCCCCCACATGTTCCTGTGTCCCCTCCGTGGTTGTCCCCACGGTTGTCGCTGTGTCCCTCCACGATGTCCGCGTTCACCTGTGGCTGCCTCTGCATATCCCGATGTCCCCGTTTTCCCCCAGGACGATGCCGATGACCCTGGAACTGCGGCTTCTTCTGCTGGCACTGGCGCTGCGGGGGGACGCAGTGTCCCCCTCAGTGTCCCCCTCAGTGTCCTCTTCAGTGTCCCCTGCCGCGTCTTCCCCCGAGTCCCCCTCCGAGACGTGTGGGGCAGCACTGGCGGATGTGCTGAGGCGGCTGCGGGAGCTCGAGGGACACGTGCGGGCACTGAGAGGACACTGTGGGGACACGGGGGGACCCCAGGCCGGGACAGGTAACAGGGGACAAGGAGGGACAGCCCGGGGAAGCCTCAGGCTGGGACAGGGGAGCACATGGAGGGTAGGGGGACATAGGTGACATGGGGGGAACTTGGAGCTCATGGGGACAGTGAGGGGACATGGCAGAAGCCCAGGCTGTGACAGGTAACAGAGGTTGGTGACATGGAGAGGACACAGGGGGCAAGGGAGAATGAAGGATGGGGGGACATAGAGGGTCTTTGGGGGAATCACTGGGGAGTCAGTGGGGGCTCACTGGGGGTCACTGAGGTGGGGACACTGGGGTCATGATGGTCCTTGGGGTCACTGGGGGTGTCAGTGGGGTTCAGTTGGGGGTCAATGGGGTGTCACTGCCAGGGTCAGTGGGGGTCAGTG